TCGGTTGCCGTTATATGGTACCGGGTGGGTCCATCTTAGCAACCGGCAACCATGGATTGCGGGAAACGTTGCCCCGGATCCGTTGGCCGGATACCGGTGCATGTTTGGCACACGGGCAAGGATGCTTTTCGAATAAGATCGGCCGGATACAAGCCCCACGCTAAAGGAGCCTAGTCTTCTTCATTTGCCATTATCAAGTTTTTACCAGAAGACTGGACTTGTTACTATACACTAACCCTGCATTTGACAAAAATTTGTACGCATTGAACGATACGGTGCTGTTTAGCCGGATAAACGTTCAGCCGATTGACGTTCTAACATGCACTAGCTGCAAGCCGTTTATGTGAACGGTGAGTGCGCTCGTACAAGTGTGAGCGGCTGCACTGTAGAAATTTCCGTCAAGTGAAGGGTTAGGGTAATGTATAATTTTACGGCACGGGATAGCTGATTTGCTCACTCGATGGTGATGCTTTCTCCAATGAAACAATGTTTTATCATAACCGTCCACACGTACACATATCGATGCCGCAACAAAATGATGCCTCTACTACGGAGCTGCGGCAGCCGGCGTCCTGCCCCGATGTCGTTCGTTTCGTGCCACATGAGGTACTGGCCGATGGTGCATCGAATTCTGTATGCATACGATTTTGCAGGACTGCTGAATCTGGGGCGAAAAGTTCTGTCGGAGTATCCTTATACGGACATTTCGTTTAAGAACAACTCGTTCTTGCGGCAAATGTTCGTATGGTGTTCGGTGCCATAAACCAGTTTATAATTTTCCTACTCCGCAAAAGTCTCGCGACCAAATGTCACACAACAAAACGGCAGCAAAACGAGTTGTCTCAAAACAAGTTTGCTGTTGCGACGAAATACCTGGGCCGAAATGCCCCATGACAAAATGTCTCGCAACCACTTAGGCTGTCACGCAATTTTTTTCCGAATTCGGAAGAAGCGTATATTCGGCGGTGGACCGTTTTCGTGATTTGTTGACTGGAGCAGACCTTTCGTTGAATGGTCTTTATGGCGCCTATCTGATATCAAATACAAATTGTAGTCCCACTATCCGTTTCCGAATATTCAGCTTAGGACTAAAAAGACGCATATCCCCATACCCAGATATCCGTGCGCATGTGGCAAGTGCAGTTGTACGACAACCGGATATTTTAGCTGAGTCGTACAGCGCACTGCGCCGCATGAGTTCGGCATGCTGTGGGTGGGATTATGCGTCTTTTTGTCCTAAGCTGTACACTCAGTGAAATCCGTCCGCTCTCGACTAGATTCGTGCGCAATATTCTGTCCCAGTTTTAAAAGAGCCTTCCCAAGGATGTGCTTTTTTTAACGAATTCCTGCGAGACAACTGAAAGTCGGCTTACGGCAATAGGTCAAATCCAGGAGAAAATGTAGCTCTAGATGGCAGTACGGTCCGCACCGTTTACCGTCGCAAATTATGTAGCTGCGACCATAGTGCGGCAAAATAGCACAAGGCTGATTAAACGCAGTGTGCGGCAAACAAATGGCTGTTTTGCCTACCATACTGCGGCAAAATAGCTAAAGGCTATTTTAACGCAGTGTGCGGCAAAATAGCAAAAAGCTATTTTGACACACTGCAGAAAACTGCGGCAAAATAGCCTTAGCCTGAAAGTGTCGACAAATGCATTACCGATTGCCAGGATCCCCCATCCCGTGAGAGCAGGAGCAATGGTTGATGATGAGGCGTTGTACACATGGTCTAAACGATGGAGCAGAGAAATATCTTTTCCAAACTGATGGCAAAAATGTTTTGTTAGAAATAGGTTTGATTGAACTGAAGGAAATAGACGAGAAGGAGAAGTAAGTGCCTGTGCAGGGCATACTGAGTACAATCTATAAAAGCGGTTTTTGTTATACTTTTGAGGCTGCATAATTCGAGTCCTGATCACCCAAACCCTGCACGGTGAATAAGCAAATAAGACAAAGGACTGGTCGATTACTATCGGAAATCCATATTTCATGTATTAACGAGGTTAAGCGTTTCTTCCTGAGGAGCAACAAAAAGCTCCGTAAAAGCGATTAACGAGGTTTTTTTAGCTACAGCGTGATCTCGTCGGGTGAAATCGCTGCATTCCGTGTTTCTTCTTAAGGTTAGACAAAAGCTGAAGAATTGCCTAGAAGACTTATGGATCGCTCGAAAGTTATTCAGGTTTCGCCGGTTCGTCAGTTCTCAAGAGGGTTGATTACCCGTGAAAATTACCCGCACAATGTGAAACATCGAACTTATTCACTGGAATTTTATGAGAACACGGAGACTGCCGGAAAAATGAAATTTACAGTTTATTATCATCCAGATGGTGCGCAATAAATTTTATAACGTTTTTTTTAAGACCGGGGCAGGTTATTGCATGAACTTTTTAAACATGACATTGTTGGCGCGAGATTACAAGAAAATTGTTTACCGAGAATGGACATGCGTGATAAACAGTTCACGTATTTATTGCACATTAGGCGGCTTTTCCCAAATCTTCGCTGATTTGTGATTCTATCTCAAAGTCAACATACTAAGTCTTGCAAAACAGTTGTTGACACCTGAAAAATCAGTATTTACATATTTTGCCTACAGATAAAATGGGACGGACATTGGAAAATGTACAAAGTGTAGTTAGCGGCGACGGCAAGTATTTTATTAATAAAGTGAGAGAGTAGCCAGGGAAAATGTGGACCATATCTTAATCGGCTCTGATTTTCCTAATTTTCGATTTTTCCAACGAGGTTTCAAATTTTTGAAGACATTCTGGTTAAACACCAAACCAAAGAGAATGGGATCGTTCACCGATTCCACGGCAAACAGACATGTGGTCACGTTAAAGTAATCCCGGTTCTCGAAGTCTATGAAACAGGCCGTCAGTGTGGCGCCCAACAGCGGCGTCCAACAGATCACCATACTGACCATCAGGATAGCCTGTACTTGCATACTCTTCTTCTGCGACCGCGACCGACCGACCGTGTTCATTCCCTGTTGTCCGGCCGCCGGTGCCCGCACTGGCGCTGTTCGTTGGAGGCTGGGACAGAGTCCTCTGTAAGATCTTGCGATGACGCTGCCGCTTATGCCAGATAACTGGGAACGTCAGTAAAATAACCACTTCCAGAATGATGTACACGATCAGAAACGTTGTTACATATGTACAGTACAAAACCGGTGGCGCATTGAGTTTTAGTTTACAACGGCCGTAGGCGGCAAAGGGTTCGCGGAAATACAGGGAATCCCGAACTAACTGCGGCAACACTGTGGTAAAGATGTATATCCACATCACGGCACAGATTCCGCCAGCCGTGACCTTTGACTGGTGAATCTTTTATTGGTGGGGGAAGATGACTGCCCATAAACGACCGAAAGAAATTATCAGGTGGCTAATGATCATTCCGGCCATGGCGAGGTATCTGGTGAGGAGACAGAAGTCCCAGACGTTGGATGTGCGGCATTGTGGGCAAACGAACACCAGAACGTTAAATAATTTGGCACAAGCGGTTTCGATAAATTTAGCGATCAGCAGGTTGATTATATATAAGTAAATGGTGAACGCGCGATTGGTGACGGACGTGATGAGCACCGCAGTGTTCAACAGACCGTCGGTTATTGCGGTTAATAGGTGAAAGATTTTGGTTAGTCCCCATTGCGGTGGAAAGGTGACGGAAGGAATTATTAAGGAGCTGTTGTTTACCATAATTATTGAATGTACGATTAGAGCAAAATTTTGCACTGCCGGTGGTTCCTTGAACGTGCGCTCGAATTTCCGTATGCATGTCCTTGTTGCAACAGAATATTTTTCTTTAAATGCCATAGTATAACTGTGATAAACTGCAATCGCTTTTATACCCAATATCCCTCAAGCATGCATCGTCTAATATCTCACGTTCAACATGACGGAGGCGGTAGGAAATTAGGCATCAAATACAGTATGTCTATATATCCTCGCGAACTGAGCAATACATGGCACTCTGTCAGTAATCGAAATGAGAAATGTGTTCGGCTCATCTAACGATCATCGCCTTGTAAGCATAATCTGCGTTTAATATTCCTCCGTGATTTACACAGTTAGAAAACAATTACCCAAATGAGATGTGTGTGTCTGGAAGGCACGCTTTATATTGCGTGCTAAACCCGCTGCCCTTTTGTTTTTGTCGCACTTTGTGCGTTTGTGTCATATTATTTACACAGATTGTACCGCTGTGCGGCATTAAAGGGTCATGCTATAGATTTTGCAAGTTACAGCCATACCGTTCTCTCACAATAAAGAAAATTCGGACGGTTTGAGCGGAGTACTGCAAAAGCCACAACATGAACTGAGACACACAAGTGGGTGAGTCGCATGAAATTAAATCAAAAGATTCAACTCTGTCGCCACAATGATCATTCGGTGTCAACAACTATCACGCTAATCCGAGAAAATGTTTTTTTTCAGCTTAAGAGACTCCATTATCTGTAGCATAAAGAACTAGATTAAGCACCGTGATCCAAATATTGATTTGCTGTCTACCGATCCTTACTAGTAAGAAGAATAAATAAAACTGGGTATCGGAAGATATTATTTTATGAAAACTGAAGAATAAGCACTTAACCTTCAGTTTTGATAAATTTTCTTTAGATGCTCAGTTTTTTTTTCAGATTTTCTTCTCCCATACAGGCCGGTGATCTGTTGATCGATAATTAGAGCATGGAAATGCGTAACAAAGTATAGTTATCTGTAATTATGGCATACTGTATAAGGCGTTAAATAGCAATCTACCCAAATTTCGCCGATTTGTTATTCCATCTCAATGTAAAGTTAAAATTAATGATGAAGCATGACACAACAGTTGTGTCAGTTTTAAAAGTAGTATTTACTGAATTACTGTTACGCCTAAAAGTGGACTTTAGAAAATGTACAGATTAAAATTAGCTACGCTGGCAACCATTATAACAATAAAATCGTGCAGAGAGCAGCAAGATAAACTGTGGACCATATCTAAACCGGCCTTGATTTTCCTCACTTTCGGGTTTTCCAATGAAGTTTCAAATTTTTGAAGACATGCTGGTTAAACACCAATCCAAAGAGAATGGGATCGGTCACCGCTTCCACGGCAAACAGACATGTGGCCACGTTAAAAAAATTCTTGTTCGTGAAGTCTATGAAATTCGCCGCCAGCGTGGCACCTAGCAGCGGTGTCCAACAGATGACCATACTGATCATCAGGATAACCAGAACTTGCATGCTCTTCTTCTGAGACCGCGACGATTCTGTGTGGTTATTCACAGTTGTCCGTCCGCCGGTGCCCGCACTGGCACTGTTGGTTGGAGGCTGGGATAGTGTCCTGTGCAAGATCTTGCGATGACGCTGCCGTTTATGCCAGATAACTGGGAAAGTCAGTAGAATCACCACTTCCGGAATGATGTACACGACCAGCAATGTTGCTAAATACAAAACCGGTTGCGCATTGAGTTTTAGTTTACAACGGCCGTAGGCGGCAAAGGGTTCGCGGAAATACAGGGAATCCCGAACTAACTGCGGCAACACCGTGGCGATGATGTACATCCACATCACGGCACAGATCCCGCCAGCCATGACCTTTGTGTGGTGAATCTTGTAGTGATGCGGGTGGATGACGGCCCAAAGGCGATTAAAGGAGATTATCAAGTGGCTGTTGATCATCCCGGCCATGGCGAGATAGCTGCTGAAGAGACAAAGGTCACAGACGGAATGAGTGCGGCATTGCGGGCAAATAAACGACAGAAAACTACATAATTTGGCGCAAGCGGTTTCGATAAAATTAGCGATCAGCAGGTTGATCAGGTAAATGGTAAACGGCGTGAACGATGCGCGATTGGTGACGAAAGTGATGAGCACCGCAGTGTTTAGCAGACCGCCAATTACTGCGGTGAAGAGGTTGAAGAGTTCGACGATTCCCAATTGTGATGCAGAAGTGGCGGAAGAAATGAACAAGGAGCTATTGTTCACCATATTGAGTGTAAGATTAGAGGAAGGTTTTTGCACTTTCGGTGATCGCTTAAATGCGCGCACGAATTTCTGTATACTTGCAGCAGCGCAATCGTTAGTACTAAAATAGCGTAATAGTAAATAGTGCTAGTAAATAGCGTTATATAATGGCTTAATATTACTATGAGTTACCGGAGTCGCTTAATACGTAATATCCTTCAAGCATTCATCGTCTAACATCTCACGTTCAACATGACGGAGGCGATAAGAAATTAGGGAATAAGATATGTCTATGATTATAGGTATTCTCGCAAACTGAGCAATACATGGCACTCTAATCGAAGTGAAAAATGTGTTCGGCTCATTTAAAGATCAGCGCCTTATAAGCATAAACTGTGTTCAATATCCCTCCGTGACCTAATCAGCTGGTAAACAATTATTTGAATGGGATTTGTGTGTCTGGAAGGCACGCTTTATTCTGCGTGTTAAGCCGCGACCCTTTTGTTTTCGTATCACTTGATGCGTTTTTCTCATATTGTTTACAGATTGGGTCATTGTGCGACATTAAAGGGCAATCGGATAGACGGATAGAATGTGCACGATAAAGCCATACCGCTTTCTTTCAATTGCGAAAGGTAGGGCGTTTAAAAAAGAGTACTGCAAAAGACATAATAATATGGAACTGAAATACACTAGTGGGTGGGTCATATAAAATTGAATCAAAAGATTCTGTCGCCACAGTGACCTTTCGATGTTAACAATTACTACCTCTAACCGAGAAAAAAGTTTTTTCAGCTTTAGCGACACCATTATCTGTAGCATAAAGGACTGGATTAAGGGATTTGGCCCGGTACATAGCACCAAGATCGTGAACATCCAGGGGAAGTTTCGCTGCTGCGCGCTCCCAAAACCTTTTTTGCATTGCTTTATGGTATTTTGTAGCCAGAAGAATTGTTTACCTAGGTGAGAAAACCGTTTGCGCGCGCAACATCCGGTTGCGAAGTTATGAGGGTATCAAAATTCCAAAAAGTTTAAATGCATACAGGTGTACCAAAAGTCTCATTATGGACCGATCCCTTTCAAATTTTGTAACTGCACATAACCATGAGATCGTTTGACACGGATCCAGACTACGATTTTTTCAAATTTTAAAATGAATTTTAAAATTTTTGAAATTCATTTTAAAATTTGAAAAACATGTTAGAACAGTGGATCCGTGTCAAAACGATCTTCATGGTTATGTGCATTTACGCAAAGTTCGAAAGGATCGGTCCATAATGAGACTTTGGTACACCTGAATGCATTTAAACTTTTGGAATTTGTTACCTCATAACTCCGCAACCGGATGTTGCGTGCAGGATTTCACGCCTATGTACACCAATCATTTGGCTACACAATGTCAAAAAGCAACCCAAAAAAGTGTTTGAAAGTGCGCGAAAGCGAATATTCCCGTCAATGTACACGATTATAGCGCTATGTATCGGGCTAAATCCCTTAAGCATCGTAATCTGATTTGCTGCCTACTTACCAGTAGTAGGAAAAGAATTTGAAAAATAAAACTGAGCACCTGAAGAAAATTTATTAAAATCGAAGTGTAAGTGCTTATTCTTTAGGCTTAATAAATTTTCTTCAGACACTCAATATTATTTTACATTTTCTTAACTTATAAAGGTATCTCATCTGCCAAAGATCGACAATTACAAAATACTGCGTCATCTTGCAAATGATAAGCAAGCATTTGCCGATAACGTATGCCGTTAAATTAATATGACTGCGCTGACAAGCCAATTACTGACCAGGGAACATTCTGAGGCTATAAATTCAGAAAATTCTCAATTTTTGCAGAAAGTTAGGACAACTATATACGTAGGTTGCCTAAAAAAATTATTTCATGTGCCATGGTCAATGGGCGTGGCCAAAACATAATTTTAAAGTTAGTTCTACACTGTGCTGTAGCCTATAGGCAGTGTACCGCATTATACCTTACAAGACTAATATAAACCTTACTGAACAATCTGTACCAGTACGAGGCCACCTTTCTCGTTTCAGAGTTTTATCTGTGTTGCTCGCTTGTAGTATGTAGTTTCCCGTTTCTGGAGATTATACAGTTTGCATTTCATTTTTTTAGTAGAAACGACTCACTTTGATTTCTGTTAGTAATTGTTCAAATATTACGTCGAAGTCGCAAGACTCGAAACACAAAGAAGTATTCTAAATTCAACCGCTTGTGAAACACAGATAAAAATTTGAAACGAGAATGCTGGCCTCGTACTGGTACAGATTGTTCAGTTAGGTTTAAATTTTTTTTTTCACTGCATGTATATACTTTATTGGCAAATTGTACAAGCTAAAAGCCATTTACACTTGAACTTGATAAACCAATTTAGAACAAAAAGAACAATTCTTCAAGCTGTTTAGAACACCCAACCGTTCCCAGAACAGAAGCAGCGTTCCCACGCTGAATTTCCACACTTAGACGCTGCCACAAAAATTCGGTGGCGCGCGCTTCTCCTGTTTGCTCTGTAATGCGTCGACCAACTTCACTGATGAAATGACGGGTACTACCGCCGCAACTTCCCATTGGTTTAAATAAATATTAGTCTTGTAAGGTATCATGCGGTGCACTGCCTATTGGCTACAACACAGTGTAGAATTAACTTTTAAATTCTGTTTTGGCCACGCCCATTGGCCATGGCACATGAAATAATTTCTTTAGGCAACCTATATAGTTGTTGTAACTTTCTGCAAAAACTGAGAATTTTCTGAATTTGTAGCCTCAGAATGTTCCCTGGTGAGAAACAAAAATACTGGTATACTTTACTGAGCAATAGCACTGTTTGTCACCATGTACTGAGCGCCGTATTTTACAGCCTACAGAGCACGTTAACATTACAATGATTAATTATTACTGTGCAATAATTATTACTGCCCCAGCTTAAAAGCGAAAGTACCGGTATGGTACTCGCCGTACCACTGTTTATTCTGTTCCGCTAGATTTCTCTTTGGCTACGTTCGTTCGACCACTGCCAAAGGTAACCTTTTTTTTGCGTGAATTCTATGGCAACTCTGTCTTCCTACAAAATTCAAAACTTTTCGGAAATTTTTGCCTTTGACAGTCTAGCGGTGCTTCGTAATCGTGCATATATGTAGCGAACAATATGTATTGTACAAGTAAGCAGTGAAAGTGAAAGTACCTGTACGGCGAAAGTACCGGTACGCAAACATTAAAGTGAAAGTACCGGTACGGCGGTGCATAAAGCCATAAACTGAGCCAGTATCGAGCCATTTCTGGTACACCAGTATTGGTTGTTCTACCGATTGTGCGGTGCATTAAAACAATATTATTATATCGACCTGGTACATCGTGATCGGTCGGTATACCGCCACTGAGGCACGGATAAAGATTTAGTGGTGGGGAGCCGGCACATGGGGCTGGAAGTTTCGGCCGGGTAACCTGCTTATACACTTAAATAACAAGTACGAACATTCTGATTTTTCAACTAATATTTTCAGTTTTTCACGATAGAATGGAACAAAATTGGGAACCAGAAACTAAAGACATATTCAGGAACATGATATTATATTGATCGTCCGTACTCGTAATGTACAGCTTAGGACAAAATGGTCGCATACCCAACATCTTCACATTCAGTGCGAATGCAGCGCAGTGCGCTGTACGACTGAGTTCAAAATATCCGTTTCGTACAAGTGCACTGCACCGCTTGCGTACAGAATGCTGGGTATGGGGCTATGCGACCATTTAGTCCTACATTGTACATAATCGCAGCGCAGTAATAAATGCGGTGTTGCAACACAGCAAGAAAGCAACTTCTGCCGCATTTATTCGACAGGGAAAAGTCCTGCCATCGGAATCCATCATGGCATACAAACTTAAATGGCGAGTAGTAATATCAATAGAAGCAAAATATTCATTAAGAAGATAACTACATGCGCACTGTACTTCGAAGTACTTTGCTGATTTGCCGATAATATGAGAAGTACGTAGAACAGCGGCTACAACTCGAGTAGTTCATAAACTTTTACTATTTTTCAGTCGAATGTACAAATATGAAATATCTTGGAGTCTTCAGCAATGTACTCAAAAAATCTGTTTTCACTTCCAGTCACTGTTTTTAATTTGATTCTTCAGGCCTTAGGTCACTGCGTACTTTAATGATCGATCCACAGCATACAGTTAGTACTGGGATATGCGCTTGCCTAAATCGAATCTAACAATTGTTTTGGCATCCGCTCGCTTCTTCGTTTTCTGGCATGATCGACGTGTCAGGAATGTGGCTAGTACTGGCTACTGTTTAATATATAGGAATATACGTTTCGATTTTACGTGCTGGAAAGCTACTGGACTGGACTCTGTAAATTGTCCACGAATTTCGTCAGCATTGCTTACTCCGAAGAGCGTCGTGCGCAAAAGCTTTCTCTGGACTTCTGTACTGCAGTTGTTGTGGAGCGTCGAACGGCATTTTATTAATTTTTTCCTGTATTAACAGTCATTTGACGCGACGATTTTTTTGTTCCAGCAGCTTCAATCTGTGCAGATAGGTACGTCCAACCAGAAAAGTGTTGGTGATTGCTTCTTCCAATAACTGTAAGCAAATTAAATGGTAAAATTCTAAACATTAGTCGTATAATAATGGAAATCACTCTTTAACAAGTTTTAAAGTTGTTTCGTCGTTTTCCAGGAGTTACGGTTTGTGGGTGATTTCAAGATGTGGATTTGCAAGTGGATCCTTATCTGCGGAGTCGGGACAGCGTTGGGCAGCAACGTGACGTCGAAGCCGAACGAAACGTGGCATAACGATGATGAGTTGTCCGGAAAGAACCTCCATCCAGTATTGAGTAAGCCGAGTACAAGTTAAATACAATGACATTTTATGGTTATGTATTTCATAGTACTGTATTTTATAGTTTTCAGTTATGCAGTTTAGAGTTATTATTTTTATTATTGCTTTTGGATGATAACACTGCCTTTTGCAATTGACTGATATTAATCGTTATACAGCACATTCGTCATAAGTATAATTATTATGCATGAAGTTATTTAACATCGTTGTTCATTACAAATTTATTTGAATTACGTATTGACTCTGATTTATGTATCGGATTTTGGTTGTTTTTTAATGTTTAAATTTTAACTGGGATGTAGTGTGCCTGCGCTTGCCTTTTTATTATTTGATGGTTATTCTTTATATTTAATAATTTATGTATCTATGTGTAGGTTGATAGCTTATACTTATATATATAGTAGCCTTTTACATTTTGGTGCTGGGGAATTGCCGATAAAAGGCACAGTATACAGTGCATTACATACATAAGAATGAGCAGGATACGGCTACTTGTAAGTTGTACATAAGCAAATTATTATGCGGTACACTACGTACTTACAGTAGTATTATCCATATTATATTCATAAAACTGCTAATACCGTTTATTCGGTACATTCTGCCATTAAGGATATTATTGTCGCAGTTCTGTTTTAATAAAAAAATGTGTTTTAATAAAAAAGGATCTAAAATTATTACCAGTATTGTTTAATTTACTCAATATATACAAAAAAAAATCAGTAAGCAATTTTACATTAGTATGTATACGAGGACGAGCTTAGTACATGTGACAGACAAAAAAACTAGCGAGAGAATCTGATAACCATGCCCGGCCCTTCAGTTTTCCGTACGCACGCCCTTCAGTTTATTCCAGAACGAAGAGTAAGGAACCTTGTACTTTTTCGCTGCAGCGTACTGTGACAGGTTCCCCGTTCTATAAGCCTTCAGCGCCAAGGCCATACGATCATCGTACGCTGCTGGTAAAGGCACGTCGCTGGCAGGTTCCTCCACACAATTCTCACTCAACGGTAGGCCCGAAATAACGCTGATACTCGCGCAAGAAATCTCCATCGCAGGTGCAGAAAACAAACTGGCAGGTAGCCGTACGTCGGTGATATTCTCATCGTAGTACATCTCGCCAGATGAATCTTTATATTTAGATGGTAATTTTATAACATTATTATCAAGAGCTTGGTTAATTAATGTCAGTCACTGGTTACTGGAAATTTTGCGGAGAACCAATTATAAACAATGTTATAAAACCAAAACAAAACTCGCATTTAAATTTTAATACGAGTGTGCGTTACAGTAAACAGCAGGCCGTGTTCAGCTAACGGCTGCGTGACGGCGCGCGGCTACCGCCAGCCTAAGGTGGCTGACAGTGTTGCACAGCACGCAAATGGTTATCAGATTCTCTCGCTAGTTTTTTTGTCTATCACATGTACTAAGCTAGTCCTCGTACTTGTGAAGTACTGTGTACCTGTCAATTGACCAAAAATGTTCATGTTCTGCACTTGTGTTCTCACGAAAAGTTTTCATAATTTTGCATGCGTGGTGGTTTCTATGGAATCATCAATTCTGGTGTGTGGACTTTCAGCGTGTCTTAACACATTAAAAAGTAAAAATACAAATTAATAATACAAAATTATTAAGATTATGGCGATTAATTGATTACTCGTACTATAGGTGAACGGTGATTTCGTTGCCTGCACGGAGTCTGAAGGCAGGCGTCGGCTCAACTTGGCCGTGCGTATGGTGATTGTTTTCGTTAAATCTTGGCGTTTCCGTTTCTAATCCGTAATTAAACACTGTGGAAACGTAATCGCTTTTATTCGGGTACCTTTTTAAGAATATCGTTTTTGAAGCTTTCATTTTATCCTTTGATAATGCATGGCATTTGTAGTACTGTAAATTAAGGTCAACGAGTAGGAATTTTGTAAATGCAAGTTGACTATTATTTTACAAAAGGTGCGAAGAGGTTTGGATTTTTTGTGAACTATATTTGTTATTCCATACGAAAACAAGGAGTGCAAAATTTCAGCTGCTTACCGTAATTAGTAACAAGAACGATGCAAGAAATTTTTAAATATCAATAAAATTAAATTTTTGAAATGAAAACATCGTGCAAACACCCAGCACCCCAGTTCTAAACAAGTAATTTCCTGGCGCGATGAGCCGGCAGTTTTAGGGTCGCAGGAACCCCACAAATGGGCACCCAATACATCCAGGCCTGGTCGCCGGGGTTTTCCGAGGTGACCGAACCCTGGATCATTGGTTGCGCTACTCGGAGGACATTTTCACGCGTTATTTCGGACGCACTTCGAGCCCACGATGGGCCACTGTTGACGCAGAAAAACAGCTGTTTTGGGGCAAGAAAAGGCCCATCCGTAGGTTTTAATAGAACAACAAAATACCGCTCACCGGCCGTTTTCGAAACAGTCTTTACACTTTATTGTGCACCCAAAAAATAAAAAATTACATGAGAAAGTACACCATTCGGCGACCAATTTCGACGTTTGCACAAACAACATAAACGTACAAAAAATCGCACAAATTTAAAATAAAACTACTAAATATAAAACTAAAAATAAAATACTATGATCAAAAGCCTTCACGCTGCGTTTTCGAACGTCATTTTTCAAGAATAATGAATAGATTACGAAGATCAAACGAAGTCCAAATCCTTCCTTCCGATTTCGACTGAAACGCGACGACTTGCTGCAACAGCTCCTGTAATAAACACAGCTGTCAATTCCAGTAAAGGGGTACAGTAATCGCACAAATGTAACGGAGAGGCTGACGGATAACTCGCCAACAGACAAAACAGCAATTAGGGGAAACTGAGTTACACGTTTTTCTAATTTCTCATGTAGCCTAGTTATAATAGGTTTACCTGTTGAACTTCGTGGCTTGAGGGACCTCGAATTCGGCGTTTCAGATCAGTCGAAGCTGGAGACTGTCCACATCCAGAAGAGCGAAAAAGAGACTGGGAAAGTTCCAGATGTTCGACCGTAAACTATACTAGATCAGGTTGCAACTTTCTGTCGATGACACCTCCATTTCAACGCTAACATCAAACTAAATCTAAGAAAAGTTTTAAAAACAAAATCAGTCTCGAAATTCGTTTAGATTAACTGAAGGAAAAAACAAAAAGTCTAAAACCTAGCAGACAAACATCAACAGGACGAGTTCGCTGCAGCTAAAAATTTTAAAATAAAAAGTGAAAACTAAACTTGCACAAACGTGCAGCAGCCATGCGTAGATTTGAATTCCGAAACTGAATGGGCATTGGCGGAAGTTAAATGCCCGCCCCTTATGCAGCTTATAAACTGGAAGCCATGGCAGCCGCCTATGGCGGCGCAGTTTCAGCATGCCGTTCATTTTCGGTGTTTCGCCCGATCACTGGCGGCTTTCACAATAATTTGTGTTTAATATGCGTAGTTGCGGCCGCACAAAGGCCCCGGCAAAATCAACCATTCCGACTGGGCACCCTGCCGATTTTCCATGCACGTTCGCAGGCGATGCCGTGCTCTTCCGTGCACTCGATACCGTACAGTCAATATGAATAACCACGAACAACTGCATAGAAGTCCACTTAATAATAATTTACTAGGTACTACTAGGTACTGACAGCGGAAACAACATGTGTCTAAATTAATATGCAATCTATGATTCGCTAAAATTTGCAGTTGTACTCACTGTTATGTAGCCAGTGGATACGTACGGTCTGGACACTGAACAAGATACTGTTTTTCTTACAGATGCCATTGATTTGTCTCTTCCAACGTTCAGTGTCCCTTACAATGGTTACCATATTTCCACAGTAGTAGTGTCACGGACGGTATGGGCAAATTACGCACTCTTTAGCGCAGGGGTGGCAGATTTTGGCCTCTGCTTAGCGGCAGTCTGGCTGATACTGGCCTCTGCCTAGCGGCATGCCTACCAATGCTTAACTGTGTAGGGGACAATGGGTGACCTACCTACACGTGTTTTCATTTACAAAAGAACAATGGACTATAAGGTAACACACACACTGCTGGTAATAAGGTCACCGTCCAAATCGACACCTATTTTCACCCAGTGGAAAACTGCGCAAGCCGAGAGTTTACTGCAGTCCCACATAGTGACGTCACTGGCGCTCTATCGCCAACCCTTCCGCCAGTAAAGTTTTACTGTCGTGAGCCTTTAAGAGCAACATTTGTGGCGATGAAATTTAGTTGTTTCCTAATTTCTCTACTGTTCACATCAAAACATGGATACCGTACGCGCTTTAGAAGTTCTGGGAGTCCACGAAGATTTTACTGTCTACAAGATCAACGCTGTGGTTACTATGTTTCGGAACCCCAAGGAAGTCTGCTTCTTCCTGGTGTTCGATGCCAAACCGGATAGAGCTGGTCTGAAGAAGGCGCAGGACAAGGGTGTCCGTCTTACGTACAGCGATATCAGCACAATGTTGGGAATGTTGCGCAATGGTACACTTCAGGAATATATGGATCGTGCAATCACCGACAAGGGAGCGGAGAAGTTTTCTCTTCCGGGATCAGGATGTGTGGACGTCACTGTCAGCATCCACCCGAAATACGGACGGATGATTCGTTTCTCTCAGCCTCGGCGCACCATTCAACTACCATATCAGGGATTCATCAATCTCATGGAGGAAATCTATATCCAGCACTGGGGACGGGATATTGTTGTCTGACTGGATGCTTTAATTTTTATTAGCATACCTTACTTAGCATTTACTCTGTTCTGTTTGTTGTGAAAAGAAAAAAGGCTTAGAAGCCACTATTTGTGACAGTCTTAACTTGAAAGGTATATAAAGGTTCCAAGTTGACACTGTCGCAATTAAAGCTCGTAGCCATGGATATCCGTAACGTCATTCTTTCCGTCCAATTCGACAAAGCAATTTGTTTGGAGAAGGTTTGGAAGTCATTTCCGCTTAATACAAAGTCCGTTAAAGGATTTAATGCTGTCACTTTAAGTTTACAAAACAAAACGTTCTGTCAATTATTCCCTAATGGTAAGGCTATAATAAACGGTGCTAAAAGTATTACAGGGTTGTATTCACTTCTAAAATGTTATCAAATGATGCTTTATACTCAAGGCATAGAGTTAAACATTAAGGACAGCCGTGTCGCAAATACCGTTTGCACGTACAAACATACACACAACGTTAACTTGGTAAAGCTTTACGAGAAAGCAAAAAACTTCTCCGTGCAACGTCTACTAGAGCCAGAGCTGTTTCCAGCACTAAAATTAAGGCTTTCGTACGCTACCATTCATATTTTTCATACTGGTAGCTGTGTAGTCCTTGGTTGTACTTCTTCGGAGCAAATTCGAGAAGTTTTGAATTTGTAATAAAACTCCTAGATTCTTCAACTGAAAACTCCAGAATCTGAATCAATAACGGAATATTTCAAAGTCAAAATCAGGAGTTTCTTGAAAAAAATTTCTCATAGATAAAGCATACAAATAGCGGTTTGAAAACGGAGTTTTTTAAAATGGAAAAGGTGACTTTTGATTTCAGATTTAAAACTCCTTGTTCGTTTTATATTTCTGGTCCAACTATGTCCAGAAAATCGACATTTACGTTGCAACTTTTACGGAGTATTCCCAATAATTTCACACCCGCGCCCGTACGTATAGTATATGCGTACGGTACATGGCAAGAGGCATTCGGTAATTTTGATAAGTCCATCGAGCTGCTGCCAGGAATGGATAAAATCTTGGAAGATGAAAATTTTTTTGATAGAAATACGCCTACGCTACTTATTCTTGATGATCTCATGGAAGAAATATCAAAAAACGCAAAGTGTTCGACAATATTTACTAGAGATGTGCATCATAAAAATGTTTCCGTTATTTTTATATCGCAAAATTTATACAAACAAGGTAAAAGCATGAGAGATATCTCTCTCAACTCACAATATTTAATTTTATTTAAATCTGTACGTGATGTACAACAGATTAAATTACTTTCTCGCCAGCTAGGTATGCCGCATTTGTGTAATGCATACAAAAAGGCTATAAAGGAACCTTTTGGTTATTTGGTAATAAATCTGCGTCCTGATACACCTGACAAGCTAAGGCTACAGTCAAACATATTTGACTACCGGAAAATATACGTGGAAAAATGAATCCAGAAGACGTTCTCAGTATACTACGCGCTTTGGAAATTATGAATCCACGACAGCGTAGATATTTTTTACAGGTTGCTTCTAAAAACAAATTTTAGCAATTGAAGAAGCTTGTTTAAATTTGGTGAAGCAACCAACGGCTTTGAGTAAAGTTGATTTAGCCAGAGCACGACGTTTTGCACCGATAATTAAGCGTTTAGCCGACAGAAAACTTTCACACGTTAAAAAGCGAACAATTTTAGCGCAAAAAGGAGGATTCTTAGCTGCTCTACTTCCAATTCTAGGAACACTAGTTGCATCATTTATAACAAAATGAAGACCTACGTTCTTGTACCAGAGTCCGAATTTTCTGCGCCCGGCAAGACCAAAGCCACATCATGGAAAAAAGCTGAAGAAATTCGTAGTGCCATGACTCATGATTTGCTGGCTCGAGCCGCGTATCAGACTAAGCCTGCAGACTATGAACCACGGGTTATAAGATCTGGAGTTAACGAACACATACCAAACGTGCCTTCGCAAAGAAACTATGGTACTCAAGCTGCGCCCCTACTTACTGATGGATCAACGCAAGCGACCGAACCTCCGGTTATTCAGTATCTACCAAGTGAGCCGGTATATATCCAAAGTGAGCCCACAATACAATATATTGAACGCGAACCTATTGTGCAGTATATCGAGCGCGATCCTGTTGTACAGTATATCGAACGTGATCCTGTTGTACAATACGTACCACAGTATGTACCTAGAGAGACACTGGTAAAACATGTGTATAAAAGTCCACGCCCCAAGCCAATATCCAAAGGCCAAAAACCAAAAAAGAAGCTACCAGCCTCGCCCATCGTAGAGTTTCCTGATGATGGGTCATTAGAGTATGTACCTCCCGAATACGAACCACTTCCCGTGTCGCTACCTACAGACCGGATTGACGTTGTGGTTGCACCGCGAAGCTCTGGTCCAATTACACGCAGCAAAGAAGCGGCTCCGTATAAGGTTCCCGATAGAAAAGCGATTACATCCAGGGTACCGCAAATGGAGGCTTTACCGACCCCTCGAATTCACAGGCCTTACCGGCCCCATCAACTTCAAAGGCATTACCAGCGGCTCCGACACCTAAAGCGTTGACGTATACAGAACCAGCGGAAACACGTCCCCACAAGAATGGCGTTGAAAAGAGCTATGATTTATTAAGGCGTAAAACCATAAAATCTACTGGTCCTCCTAAAAAGAAGCAAAAGACACAGAAGGGGGGTTGGCTCAGCTACGCATAATGGCAACACTGGACGATATTTATTTAGAGGCTTCTAATCCTGGTAGTCTGGGAGGCATCGAACGTTTGTACCGGGAAGCGCAAAATCATGGATTTTCTCGTCAGCAAGTGGAAGATTATTTGCAAAGTAAAGACGCTTATACTCAACATAAACCTTTTCGGTCGAAATTTAAACGTCGGAAGATTTTATCATTTAATATTGGTGACCAGCTCCAAATTGACTTGGCAGATATGCAAAAATTTGCGAATGATAATAAAGACGTTAAGTATTTACTGACTTGTGTCGATTGTTTTTCTCGCTACGGCTGGGCCGAGCCCGTCAAATCCAAGAAACCCGAAGAAATTATTCGCGCTCTGTGTAATATTTATAAAGAATCTGATCGACCACTGCGCTGTCAAAGCGATAACGGAAAAGAATTTGTGAATAAACAACTGAAAAACTTTTTTACTGATCACAATATCAGGTTTTTTACAACAAAGAACGACGACGTTAAATGTGCCATGGTAGAACGCTTTAACCGAACAATTAAGGAACGTCTTTACGTGTACATGACAGAGAATAATACTTACAAGTACCTCGATATTTTACCTGAGATTTTAAAATCGTATAATAATTCTGTTCACTCTAGTACAGGGTTTGCCCCCAGTCAAGTGGATGTGGATGAAGCGCGCGTTATACGTCAAGATATGATAGATGAGCCACAGGCTAAAAATCCTATTTTTCAGGTTGGGGATCACGTGCGTATAGCAAAACGCAAGCAGACGTTCGAAAAGGGATATGAAACCAATTACACCCGGATGCCTGTGAGGCAACCCGGATGCCTGTGAGCCGCTGAATTTGTCTTGGCTTAATGAATTAAAATCTCCTGAAATTTTCGTGTCTTTTAACGACTCTCCGATTTTGGGCAGGGAAATTAATCGTGCACTGAAGAAAAAATCAGGGCGTACTGGATCGGGGCTTGATGGACTGGGATATGGTGTTTTCAAAAATTTTCCTATACTGCACAATTTTTTAGCAGCGATGTATAATAAAATTATCTCCACCGCTACTCCGCCAGTTTCTTGGAAAGTTGGTCGCACTATTCTTTTGTACAAAGCCGGTGACGCTGGCGATTGCTCTAACTATCGGCCAATTACCCTAACCAGCTGTTGCGCAAAAATTTTGCATACACTTATCTCGAACCGTATCCTTTCTTTTGTTCAAAAAAATAATATTATTGATGTCTCGGTGCAGAAAGGTTTCATCGAATGCATGAACGGCTGTGGGCAGCATTCGATGAAACTGCAACATATCATCGAAAAACAGCGTAAGCTTAAGCATGCTTTGCATGTAGCATGGCTTGATATTGCAAATGCTTACGGTTCAGTGAGACACGAGCTGTTAAAAGATGTTCTCTCCCGCTATAAAATCAGCGC